GTATTTCAAGCTTTTCTGCTCCAGCATTGGAATGCGGGGCATGTTAACGTTTTTTGAAAATCAACAGTTTGCATTATGCAATTAAAAATCCTAACCAATAAAGTAGGGAATAGCTATCCAACTGTTGTTTTAGTTGTATGTTACTTCATATTATAGTTATATCAATGTAAATCATTGTTTTCCCTTGTGTTTCTCATTCTTTCCCTGCCATGTCGTAAAATGTGGTGAACCCATCGCTGTATTTGCTCCAAAGCAAATATTGGCCTTTCTAGTTTTGGCTTGATATTAACGAGTAATTCGTAGCGGAAATATACGGAAGAAGTACGAGTTCGAACGAAGCAAGGCTCTTCACTATTAAAAATCCGGCTAGCGCGGGCGCTACCGGAGGTTATGATGCCGATGTTTGGAGTTTTGCAGCAGAGTTTTGCAACTATAATTTCCTGACGATACGTTTCCCATCTGTAACAGTGTTTTTATGTCAATACAAAAAAAATGTGGAATGCTTGTGGACAGTTTCAACTTGTAAACAAGTGTAAACAAATGCCCCGCCCCCTCAGTTAATTTTCGCGACGTGTTCCCTAAGTTAATTAATTTTCGCGACCCGGCCCTTCCTAACTGGACGGCCTCTCATCTGCAGTCTGGCGGAAACACTGGCAGACACTATATCTGTTGTGAGGCAGTCTAGTAAGGGGGGTAGTTTTCAAAATATATGACATGGGAATGGGACATCTCAAGGCTTACTGTAGGAGACATTCATGGATTAAAGTTTCATCAGGCTGGTTAATTACTTGACAACAATTACATGTATGTCTATATCACATTCCTGTACATTTGGGATTATATTGTAGATAGTGTTCTCTGCAACCATGTAGATGTATAAGGGAACACATCTATTGCCGCAACACTTGCACTGTGCAATGTGGACCAGTCAGAATTGTCCAGAGGAAGGTGACAGATGGTCATCAAAACATCGGCTGAATTAACCACTTGGTTGTGTAAGAAGAGTTTCTTTAATGGTGGAGACATCATTGTTAGACAGTGGAAGTTACAGTTGAAGACTTATGGATTAGAATAGTCAGTAGTGGTCTACATGTTTCTTCTTCACTTTTGGTTAAACCTACTCCTAAGTATGAGGGCACTGTGCCCATGTTCCTGAAAATTTGAAATGTAAAGAAATCTAAGGCCACACCAATTTAATTTCTTGGTTAACAGATTCGCCCGCTTCATTTTTTTCTGATTTGCAAATAAAAATAAAAATTCAGAATCAACTGCAAAATGCTCATATTTTGCCCTGAACAGTTGAAAACAGTCCTTTTCTTCCTAGTTGTTACAGTTATTCCATCTTTCAATGCAGTGGTATCATTAAAAGTTCAAAATTCATTATTTAAATTTGAACCAGCCTGGTGTGTTGACTTCATGGCTCCTATCGTACCATTTTGGGCCATAATAGGATGCCTAGGCCTGTTTTTCTTTTAATTTTTTTCGCCTGCCCGCTCCATTATTTTTCTAGAAAAATCAGTTAACCAAGAAATTAAATTGCTGTGGCCTAAGTTCTGTAGTGCAATGGCATTGCACATTTTCTACTCCACAGCTGTAGCCCACTAACTTGATGTCCTACATGTACATGTACCTTTGAAATCTTCCATCCTCTGTCTACTCTGTTCCAACAGTTCTTCTTTCTCCAACAAAGATGCTGTCAAAGTAAATGACAAGTTTCAGAATATCACATACATGTAGCTTAGCAATTTTTCAAAATGTTGTTTAGGACAGCCACTGTTCACAAAAATTGTAAAAGAAATTACTCGTATATGGTATATATATAAGTATGACACTGACTTACCTTTAAAATGCACAATTTCTTTCAATCTGTCTGTTGTCTCTGTGAGGTCCTGAGATGTAAGGGAATCTACAAAAGGAGATATTAAAACAAATTTGTTGCATTTGTCACACATTGTCAATAATGTTAGTGCAGTTATAAGTAGGGATTAGGTACAAGATCAATCTAAGTATACAGGCTAAAAAACTTTTCCTGAAAGTAGTGTATGATTATCATGGTATAAATACTGCATATCTCCAGACATGTTTGTGCATCAATGGTGAATTTTGGAGTTTCAAGAAGTTATCAAAAAAAGTAGGGCACCTTCCCGGTGTGAGTGGTTCAAACCTTACACTCAGTCTTACGCAGCTTGTACTTACTGTACAAAACTGATATGGCTCACCTTAAAGGGCAGATTACTGGCTATGCTAAACAAACAAACAAACAAACAAACAAACAAAGCCTGAGACTGACCCGCAGCGCCGTCGGCCATCTCCACATTGTTGAGGTAGTCAAGTTGTACAGTGATGGGAACTACATTGAAGAGGAGACAGAATTCTATTAGCACAAAAGTTCATTCAGTAACATTTCAGTAACATCAGTAACATTTTTACTTTGTATCTAAAAATCTAATCTAGAAAGACATATGAAAAATCTGCCTATGGCCACAACAATTTAATTTCTTGGTTAACGGATTTTTTAGAAAAATAATGGAGTGGGCGGGCGAAAAAAATAAAAAATAAGAAAAGGCCTAGGCATACTATTATGGCCCAAAATGGTATGATCATAGGAGCCATTAAGTCAACAAGTGGTTCAAAATTTAAACAATGAATTTTGAACTTTAAATGATACCACTGCATTAAAAGACGGAACAACTGTAAGAACTAGGAAGAAAAGGACGGTTTTCAACTGTTTAGGGCAAAATATGAGCATTTTGCAGTTGATTCTGAATTTTTATCTTTTCTTGCAAATCAGAAAAAAATGCGGGCGAATCCGTTAACCATGAAATTGAATTGGTGTGGCCTAATTTTTGTTTGAGAATAATGTGATCTCACATGAAGACAGCTTTGGTCTGGTCTGATGGTGACCTGTATATGGAGGTCATGTGTCTATAGCAATTTCCTTGGATCAGTAACTTCAATTTTCACCTTAGGCAGGTTTGACTTTACTCCAAATGATTCAGTAACTGCAGACAATTTACCAGTGATTTCAGAAGATGACAACAACAATTATTTAATAATAATAAAGAGAGTTCAGGAACATACTTGTTATGTCTGGTTCATCGTTCTCATTATTGTTCTCTGCAGTGATGTCCACCTGAACTTCTGTGGGTAAAATGTAGGACCAAGTTTTAGTAATGATACACAATCATCCACAGTACATGTACATGCCATGTAATTTACTTGTACTTACTTCCAAGACACGAAAACATACAACTTGTCTAGCACACTGGAAATTTTTATAACTTTTTCTATAAACCATGGCAACGGTTTTATTGTGAAGCTCAAACAGACCCCTTGTAGTCCTTGGCACAAGCCTGTCATTCCTTGACAAGTGAATACATACACATATACATGTACATATGGGCATCACAAATACAAGTGTTATATATAATTAGGCCAAGGAAAAGAAATGTGTTTCCTGTTCCCCGATCGACCCTAGAAAAACTGCCGACCCTACCCCATTTTTGTGTGTGGCCTCAGGCAAGGGACATTAATTTTTCGAGCTGATTGACCCTTGTGAGCTCCATGATCTGATAACTGAGTGATGAAACATTTGTACAATCAGTTTTCCAACATTCACATTGAAAATGAAATTGTCCTCATGAAAGTTTTAAAATCACTAGAGAAGCTGTATGCTAATATTTTCAGGACTGAAACAGGAAAAACAACACATTTTTTCCCTAGGCCCAGTTCCTGTTATCAAGCCTTATCATTTACATTTTGGGGTCTATTTTTTTGGTACAAAACATTAATTCAGTTATTGTCACAATGCTTATAGCGAGTATATATTTTGAACTAAAAATGTTAGAATATGGAAATGAGGAATATGAGTGTTATCATTAAGAGCCTGTATTATCTAACCACCATTATCTGACATAGTAAACTTGTCAACTTAAAAATACCTTTACCTAATGCTCTATCAGTAACTCTTGTACATAACTACATGTCTATTGTTTCATTTATCTAAGAGGAATAGTTTCACAGGTCTTAATGTAATAGTCATTCCTTACTACCATGATTTATGTAAAATTGAGAAAAAACACAATTTGAGCTAAAAGGTAGAAATACTGGCTTTAAGTAAGAGCTGACATACCCTGGTCTTCTACCGGCCTCTCTCTCTGAGAGTCATGATTCTGCTCCAATCGTGCTGAAATAAACAACAACATACTGTATAAACATAATGTGAAATAAAAAATTTAATGTTGTCTGGAATTTTTGACCAAATCTCTTGGTCTTCATCAGCTGTATGACGCAAGTGCTGTAGACACTGAAACATGTGATTTTTCAGCTATGTGCAGTGTAGCACGTCGGCACAGCGTACTGCACCTGCGCGAAACCTGTAATGTATTGTACATAGCACTTTGGCAAAATGTCTCATATAAGGTGGTATTCGCGCATATAAGGAAAACATCTCGTCTGTAGTTTCCAAATGTTAGGCCACACCAATTTAAATTGTTGGTTCTCGGATTTTTTCAGGAAAAATATGAAGCGACAGGGCGAAAAAAAATAAAAATAAAAACAGATCTAGGCATCCTATTATAGCCCCAAATGCTACGATAGGAGGAATGAAGTCAACACAAAAGGCTGGTTCAAAATTTAAACAATGAATTTTGAACTTCTAATGATACCACTGCATTGAAAGATGGAATAACTGTAATGACTAGGAAGAAAAGGACTGTTTTCAACTGTTCAGGGCAAAATATGAGCATTTTGCAGTTGATTCTGTAAATTTTTTTTTTTTTGCAAATCAGGAAAAAATGAAGAGGCAAATCCGAGAACCAACAAATTAAATTGGTGTGGCCTTATGTTGGAAAAGATATCCTCTGCAACAGACAAAGTTCTAACGCAACGTTGACCAAAAATCCACCAAAAATCGTGAAAATACAGGGTTCTGCACAGGCGCAGTGCATTCTGCCGACATGCTGTGCAGTGTCAGCATTGGGTCCACGTTTGCCCCCGTCCAGGTTTGGTTGGTGTGCTCTGATGTAGATGGCCTTCTTCACTCCTCTCACAAAGTAGTCAGGTAACCTTGCCTAAGCTTGAAGTGTCTGACTTAGGATGAAGAGATGCTGGCACAGTAAGCGTTAGTTGAAGTGGCTCTTGTGGCTTTGCACTGAGCTTATTCGTTTAAAAATCCCTTTCACAGAGACAGTGTGGCCTGGAGACTCAGAGGATATGTTGTGAGATCTCAGAGGATACAGACCTGGGTCACCCTTGTTCTTGGATTTTTTTCTGAACAAACGTTCAGCTTCATCTATTCCCGACTTCTGATGAACTTTGACCCAATGCTGACCTCACACATGCAGAAAAATCTACAACACTGGGGTCAGCAAGCTGAGGAAGACCCTGATCATGAGATTTGCTAAAAATTTCATTGAAAAATTTCTGTTGGAGATCAGCTCATTTTGTAACTTGCCAACTCATTTCATGCCAACATGTACAAAGATAAACAGTTACAAACATAACAGATAAACAAACAGGTATGTCAGTGACAGGTTCATCAAGCAAATTTGCTACTAAAATAAATAGAAAAAACTGAAGCAAAAGGATAGTGTAACAAAACAAATTCATGGCATAAAACATAAAAATACTGAAAGTCTTAAACCATACTTAAGATTAAATTAGGAAAAACTTGCACTGTATGACATTGTGTTTCTTCAGTATTTGAAAAATATTGAGAAAATTGAAGGGATTTTACTTTTCATGGCTACTAGTTGTTCTTTGCTGAAGTCATTTTCAGCCTGAAGAGCCTCCAGCTTCGCCAACAGATTCTCTTCTTTGCTGGACAAGTCCCTTATCCTCTTCTCCAGCTCATCTTTGTCCTGGTTAGTCTTTCGTGTCGCCTCCTCATGTTTTCTTTCTGCATCCCTCATCTTCTCCGACAGTTCTTGCAGATCTTTTAGCTGCAGAACATTAAGTAGGTACATGTAGTTAGTCTGCATTAGTATATGAATGGGAAACTATATCTACTTTATTTGCATATATACACAAGAGGACTAATGAATACCTTCTAATCCCTTCTTCATTTATATTCTTCCAAACTCACAAAGAAAGCCTCTGAGTTCCTCAATGTGCTGTTACAGGACCCTAACCTTTACCACTTTTTCCCGGGTCCAAAAGTAAACAGTGGATACACATACTAAAAGTTCTGTTGTAGCACAACAGAAAGCCACTGGGGGGGGGGGCATATTTAAACTTGCTGTCCTAGTAGTTAGACCTACAGACCTAATATCAAACAAGAAGCCATAGGTGACAATCCTCCGTGAAGTTTTATATATTTCAACAAAATCCCAAGCGTCAACGCCAGACCTACTATGCAGACATTATAATTAGGCAACGGTTAATACAATGAGGGCGCGTCACAAGCATAAAACATACAAAGAGCTAAATCCATTACTGCTCCCAGGGCGTGTAAAGATACTGTGCTTCAAGTTCGAAGTTCATTTTAATTACACACACACACAATCATTGCATTCACATAAAGATCGGACTATCATGGTCGTGTCTAGTAA